ATACTCCGGTGAACTGGAAAATTCAAAGTATTCTGAAGCAATAAAAAAGCTCTTAGCATGAAATGCTAAAAATAGAGAAACAAAAAGTAGGAGCGAAAAAACGCACAACAAAGAAACACTAAAAGCTTACAAGGTAAAATCGTTCAAAAAGCGTTCTAATAAAATAAAATAATAATAACAATGTAAAATCTTTTAAATCGATAAATTTGTCATGAGGATCATTTGTTTACATACAGCTTTAGGCTTACAATTAAAAACATGGGTATAATTTAAATTAACAAAATGCGTGATGAGTTTTTTTAGACACAAGCAGAGCGAGTGTTTTAAAACGGAGTGTCTAGAGAAGGTTTTAAATACTAGAGTAGAAAAATAAATTTAAGGGGAAAGCTTAAAGAAAAAATAGTCAGTTAAAAATCTGGTTTATAGACAAAATTTTGAGATTACGTCATCACTTTTAAACGGGATGATCCAAAAATTATAGCTAGTCTTTTACTAGACAAACAATATTTCATATTAGATAAACTGATGCTAAAATATAGTGGTGTCACGAAGTAAACCCATACGCCGCCTCGGAACGACGTCTATGGGTTTTTCAGTATGTACATTGCCGCGATAACCGGTGACTCATCATCGCCGACGGCGGCGTTAGAATAAAGAAAAGCCTAGAAGCGGTTCGCCGGAAGTTGGACGGAGCGCTCCAGAAAGCGGCGATCGCGAACTCTCCAGAAGGAACGGTGGTTGTTTAAATAGGAACCTTCTTCGGGAGCGAGCACTCTAGACAAATTCTTTCCAGTCGATTAGTGAGTGCAAGTTCTACATTAACGCTGTATCGGTATGGTGGTAATTCCCTTAATTACTACTGGACTTTAAAAATCTCCACAAGTTTTATCATGAATTTACTACCCAGCGTTAGCATATGATATTCAGAAAAGATTAAAATTGTTTTAAACAATTGTGTTAATATTTCTGAGACAGTGGTAGAAAACATACAAAATAATGCTAGAATATACCACCACAAATAAAATAAAAGTATGGATCTGAAATACAAGTTACTAAGTAACTTTTTCAGACGACCGTTACAAATCTAGTGGTTCGACGTCCCCCATCACGCCCATGAAACATCATTTTTTCGTACCTACTGAAATGTCAAAATTATTTTTTTGGACTCACTTGCCACTCGAATGTCGAAAACTTACTTTCGCATCTTTGGCCTTATGTTTATATCCAACATTTTTTTAAATAAAAAAGCCAAAAGTGTCGTTATTTGTACTCACTTTTACTAAATATCGTCATGAAACATGACGGTACCAATTTTTTTCTTAATAGAAGGGCAAAGTAGCACTTTGATTTTTATCAAATCTGTAGGACTTTTCCTCCAACAACGAAAACAATTTTCTAACCTCAAAACTAGTTACATAACTAGTTATTTTTCTGTTTGGACACCTAAAAAACCTTGTGTGTACCTTGGTCAAAGAGACCTTTTTCGGCCCCAAACTTCAGATACGCTGAAAAGGTTTTTTGTAGTATTGACACACAAACTATTTAAAATAGTGTCATCGGTCTTTTTCGGGGAAACGTATACACATTAATTCTGCTGTAATTTCGAATAAAATTCTTGAAAAAGTTTAAAAATAAATATCAAACACTTAAATGTAATGATTTTTAGCTGCCGAGCATTAACTGAGGAAATAATCGAGTCCATCGGATGATTGGTTACTTTCATGATATGTCGACTTTTTATCACTCTGTCCGTTTGTCTGTCGGTCTGTCTGTCCGTCTGTCTGTCGGTCCGTCTGTCGGTCTATTTGTCGTCTGTCTGTGTGCCGTCTCTCCGGATTTTTATTAGACAGATAATTCCCGAAACTACTGAACCGATTATTGTATTGTTGTCAGATTTCATATGTGTATTAGGAATATCATGTTGATGGTAAAACGCTAACCAAAATTTTGCTAATCATCCTCACCAACAATAGAATGACGTCATCTCCAATGTTCACACTTGTAAGTGTTATTTAAGCTTATAAACTAAGGTACTCGTGCACTTGTGGTTTATGAATCCGTGTTAACAAAAATTATTGTCTACACCTTCGTCCGAGAAAATAAGTATCGTTTAAGATAAAAAAGTTTTTATTTGGGTATCCAGATTTTTGTAAAAAATCAATTTTACAACATCTTTTGACTTTGAACCTGGAAAACGCTAAATATCCATTTTTTTGCGAAAAAAACTGAGTGTGCTTATTCAACAATAATAATTAATTACTTAGTCTTCTCGTCTGCTTTGAGGAGGCAGACTCAAACAAATTTTATTTTCTTTTAACGACTGATGCAGTGTAGCTTGGAATCAAAACGTGCTAATAGTCGAACTCTTTCCAAGTATAAACATAAACAGTCGAAGTTAAACATGTACTGAGAAATAGAGAGTATCTATATTTTCCCGTCGGTTACTTGTTTAAATATATTTCATACTGTGTGCACTTGAATTACGAAAAAACGGACAATAACTATAACAATCAGGAATCTTTGACCGTCGTGATTATATTATTATTATTTTTCATTAATAAATAAACAAAAAAACATTTAATATGACATTTATAATTATAAACAAAAACAAAAATAACAAAAGGAAAATCCATTAAAGCATAACCAACTAAACACTAGCGACGATGTTAAAAATTCCTGCCCTAGGCATATAAGTAAGCTCGTAATGTTTCCAAATTTTGATCATTTTTTGTAAAAGTTAGTCATCAGTACTTGCTAAGATAAAACTGATTTTGGCAATGACATACCCTCTAAGAAAAGAGGGGGTCGGTGGGCGGGGCTAGTAGCTGCCAAGATAAGACTGATTTTGGCAAATGAGATACTCTCTAAGAGAAGAGAGGTTGGGTGGGCGGGGCTAGTACCTGCTAAGGTAAGACTGATTTTGGTGGCAAATAAGATACCCTCTAAGAAAAAACTGATGAAATACCATATCCGCTAAGACAAGCGAGGGTGGGTGGACGGGGTTAGTAGCTGCTAAAATAAGACCGATTTTGGCAAATGGAACTTTTTTACTATTTTTCCCAGACTCACCAGTTGATTATTGAGAGCGTAGCGGAGAGTTAACCCGCCATTTTCCAGACACCCAGTATATCTAATATGCGAGGGCAGTTTTTTTAAAACAGTTTATTACAGATATTTTTAAATTTTGTTGAAATTTTTGCATCGCGTATTCTAAAAAATCAATATTTCAGTTATTTATGGAAATTTTGGAACGCGGTTTTCACCTCACAAAACTTTAGAAATCGGATATATTTTCGACTTTATTGGTTGGTTTGTGGGAAATATAGTAAAAATAAACGTTTAGCAGCTGTATCGCTTCTAGCAAAATAAGTCGACAAAATATTTGGTACAATTTCTGGAGTTTTGTAAGCTGAAAACAGTGCTGAAAATTGTGTTCCGAAATTTCCTTAAATTAAATGTAATAAAGTACTCTTGCATTTCTGGTTTATGAATGTGTGTTTACTGAAATTAGTGTCTATATTTTCTTCCCAAGAAATAAATCTCGTTTAAAATAAAAACGTTTTTAACCTAGGTATCCAGATTTTTGAAATAGAAAACTGTTAGTGAATTGATAAACCACAAGTATAGATTCAGCATATTTTACACATTGTATAGGATTTAGTTAACAAAAAAACAATTTTTAGTGGCGCCCTAAACGCATAAATTTTGATTAACTATGTTTCCGATAACCTTAAAACGTTACAAGAGTTCAGAGCATTCAATTTCGCAATTTCAAAGTTAAATTGTAAAATGTTCTTATACAACTTTGATTTTGTTTATAATAATCTGGATGCCTGGGATATAAACTCAACACGAATTTATGAACTACAAGTGTAGGAGGTGATGACGATATTCCATTGTTGGTGGAGACCAGCAGACAAAGTTTGGTTAGCATTTTATCATCTACACGATATTCCTAATATACATGCAAAATTTGACAACAATCGGGCCGGTAGTTTAAAAAATTATTGTCTGGTTAATAAATATTGACACGAGCGCGGACAGACGGAAGACGGCAGAAACAAAAGACCTGTTTTCGTATTCTACGGGTTACGGAACGTCGAGAAAACATGAAAATAGTGAGTCGTCCGATGGACTCCATTTTTTAGTTTACGCTCGGGAAGTAAAAAGGGAAAAAACAAAATAATACTGTAAATCAAAAACGCGCTAAACCATTATTTTAAAAATACGTCATCAATTTTTTGAACGGGATTAATAAAAAAATCTTACGCATAATGCAGCAGACAGAATAGAGCTGGGACACAGACAGACAGACGGAAATGAAAAATGTGGGTGATATTGTAATCGATTAATCATGTCGTTAGAGATGTCAAGAACGTATGAAATTAGACATTCGTCAAAATATATATCTAAGACACTGATTTAACTTTATCGAGAAAATAAAAATATGCTTTCTCATCTATTCACATGTGGAATTAAGTATTTTTTAAATTTTGTAATTTATCTATTCCCGTTGACACACCAAAAACTACCAAAAATGAAAAAGGAAAAAATAAGTTTGATTGTAACTTGAGGAAAAATAATAAAACACAAAATATCAGACAAAGGGTTAAAAATTCGTATTTAAAATGTGAAACTCAGTTGAATAAAAATCTAACAGAAAATTTTCCTCATATTTTACAAAGTTTTCTAAAAAGTGTCACAGAATTGTACGAACTAAGCCCTAAAACGCAAAATCTATGTATGATATGTGAGACAGAGCACAAGAAAGCTCAACACAAAAACTTTTAACCCTCGAAGCTCAGTGCGACAAAACCTCCGAAAAGCATCCCCGATCGTATCAGACTACCATCAACTCCTCAGACGGCCCCAAAAAAGCCCCCACAACTCCCCGAAACAGGCGTTCTTATCACCGTGATAAGAGTGCAGCGACATGCGCGTCATCGTCCTGACAGGTAGATGGCAAGACGCGTGAACCTGTACGACACCGACGCCTGTAGTTTTCAGTAGTCAGTACAGCTCCGGCAGCGGACGGAAATAACCGCGTCCTGGGCGTCGCGACGCCCGCGCTCGTGTCGAACACAGTGTGTGATAGTATGAGTGCGCGATGCCTTAGGTAGGTACGACCGTCAACGCTCGGTGTACTCATTACGCGTATAAATACCTGAAGGTTTCCCCGATTTTTACGCAATAAAGGCAGAAATAAACTTTCCGACAACTTTCCAAATTATATAATGGCACTTTTTTTCGGAGACGTTCGGCGTCTCTGGAAGGAAGCCCATATTTAATACCATGCAGTCGAAGGTCGCATTTCGAATTTGAGCGGCGCGGAACGCGGCTAGGGGTTGTTTTTGCGTGCAATAAAAGTAACACTGCGACGCGAAATGAATAAAAAGTCGAAGAATGCCGGGCTGTTATTTATTTTTTGTTGGGGTGATGATGAAAAATGGAGCATTGATCCGACAATTTTACACAAGAAAAGTTTCAAGTGTGAAGGTTTTGACGCGGTAATTGACTGACATAAAAACAAACTATAGGTAAATAAACATAAAATTTTAGTGCAACTATAAAGTACGAAAATACCCGCAAGTTGTCCACTGGCGAACTGCGAATTTATTTAGAGTTGATTCGGTTAGTGGAAGCTAATGCGGGCCTATTTCGCAAACGTGTCATTACGAGGGAAAAGTCAAAAAAGAATGTTGCAAGCTGATATGAAAGAAATGTCTTTATCGATTAATGTTGAGGACATTGACGAAGGAAACGGGGAACGGAACTACAAAAAGAAAAGAACTCCATCCGATAAAGTATTTTAATGAAACACGACACCTCCTATTTTCTTTATTTACTTTTCAACTTGTAAGTCGTAATTAAAAAATAACTTTAAAGAACAATCATGAAATACGCATTCTAACTACCGTTTGTTAAATTTATTGCAGATCTAATCTGCAATCATTCATTGTAAACACATGCAACGAAAAGATTTGCATTAAACTTACACACTTGAACCTTGGGCTGATTCGCTGAATGTTTTATACGTTGCGGACAATGTGACCAACCTGTAACATTTACCAACGAAATTCAAGCAATATACAAAAAAAAGTTTGCAGTAAATCTTTGAAGCTTTGATTTTTATGAATTTATTTTCAAATAATAAATAGTATTTCAAGATACCGACATATTTTGTTTAGCTTCAAAATTTTACATTTTAAATTCCTAAGCTCTGTTATGTTGCCTTGAGGTTATGTTAATTTTGGCACAGGTACTACTATTCATCTTTATACATTAACCAAAGCCAAACGCAGGTGATCTTAAAGCTAATATTTTTTGTTCTTTATTTTCGAATTTTTGTGATATATGACAATGTTTTTTTCAGTGGTTACAAAAAAGTTACTTTTTTTTTTAAACGACAATAAAAAAAACTGTATAAAATGACAGGTCAAATAATTTGCTAACTAGAAAAAACGAGTGCAATCACCTTAACTAAACTTCTAGCCAAACTCCAAGAATAAAGACAGAGAATTTGAAAATCGCCGAACTTTTATAGCTTTCGACTTGACGTGGATAATTTTTACATGCAAGAGGCAATAAAAACATGGTACACCTATCAGTCCCTATATTTGTGAGCTCTCTATTTTTTTGTTTTTATGGGAGTGGTGCGTGTTAGACAAAAATATCTTAGGAGTCGTATCATGAATTTTTTCCCTCATGTAAAATTATACACTTTCGTACAAAACTAGCTTGTATATTAAGGTACTCTAAAATAACGAGTTCACATTAGTTGACTATATTTTTGCAATATTTGTACCTAAAATATGACCAGTAAACTTGCTAAATATTCAATATGATTAGTTTTGTCCATTGGACGATTCGCTACTTATATATTTTTTCGACGTTTCATGACCCTTAGAGTATGAAGAAATAGGTCTCCCCTTTCCGTCTGTCTATCTGCCATCTGTCCGAATTTTTATTAGACAGATAATTTTCAAAACTACTGGAACGATTGTTCTCAAATTTTATATGTATTAGGAATATCGTATAGATGGTAAAACGCTAACCAAAATTTGCATAAACATCGCCCCCAACAAGAGGATGACAATATCTCCAAAATTTACACTAGTAAATATTGTTTCAGTTTTATAAAATAAGATAATCCTTCCCATGCGGTTTATGATTCCGTCTTTAGTTTTTCCCTTTAACATTGGCAAAAAAATAAAATTGTGTAACAACATTTTACATTTTAACTTCGAAACTGTAAAATCCAATGCTCTGAAATCTTTATGCATCCCATTCCAAAAAATTGATGACGAAATCTCAAAATTTTGATGAATAAATCCTCTCTGAAGTATGCAAAATATTATGACTGTATAATTGCAGTCTATCAATGCACTCACATATTTTAAAATTACTTATACAGGATAATTAAAAAAAAAACTAATCAATGAGGCAATTTATTGTATTGATTAAAATCAAGAACGACTCACTCCATTTTCCACTGAGCGTAAAGTACTAGTATTATTAGAATTATACTGTATCTAGCGAAATTGGTATACGTGTCCTTGCAAAGATGTTGATGATCTCATCCCAAAATTTTGTAATGGAAAAGCTCACTTAAAACAAACGCGCAGCATGCTTCTTTGCATCTGCTTTAGTACCACATACATATCTTTATTTTAATTTAAAAGAGTTGTCATAAAAAAAATAAAATTCGCAAAATCAAAGTTTACAATTCTTCGAAAAATCTGGATTTATTTACCTCGGAATTTTTGATGTTAACAATTTTTCGTTTTTCATACTACCATTTTCTGAATTTTTAATTTTTGTTCAATTTTTCGTTCCCTCGATTTTTGATTTTCCATTTTCCGGATTTTATATCACAATTTTTCGTTTTCCCTTTTTCTTCGATTTCACAATTTTTTGATACGAGAGTTTTTAGTTTTTTTTGTTATTTATTTTTTCAATTTCACAATTTCTCGCCTGCCAAATTTTTCAATTTTTCGATTCTCAAATTTTTTGATTTGCAATTTTTCAATTTTGCAATTTTATGTCTTACAATTTTTCACTTTTTAATTTTTTAGTTTCCCAATCTTTAATTTTTGTTCAATTTTTCGTTTCCTCGATTTTTGATTTTTATTTTTCATTTTCCCGATTTTTAATTTTTGATTTTCTCGATTTTATATCACAATTTTTCGTTTTTTTTCCTTTTACTGTTCCAATGTTTCTTTCAATTTTTGATTTTTCAATTCCGCAATTATCCGATTTTCCGATTTTTTTATTTTCAATATGTGGATTTATAACATTTGGTTTTTCGATTTTGGAGTTTGTCATTTTTTTTTCCTTTTTCTTCGAATTTATGTCACAATTTTTCGTTTCTTTGTTTTTTAAATATTTCCATTTTTCAATTTATCGACTTCCAAATTTTCCAATATTTCGTTTCTTGGATTTTCCGATTTGCAATTTTTCTATTTTGAAATTTCTCTATTTTGCAATTTTTCGATATTACGATTTTTCCTTTTTTTATTTTTCAGTTTCCCAATTTTTAATTTTTCGATTTTTCAATTTTTCGTTTGCCCAGTTTTTCAAGTTTTGATTATTTTTCATTTTCCCTACTTTTCTGGATTTTATATAACAATTTTTCGTTTTTTCATTTCCTCGTATTTTCTCTTTCAATTTTATAGTTTTTCGCCTAAGCAATTTTTCAAATTTTCAATCTCTGATTCTTCAGTTCCTCAATTTTCCAATTTTTGGATTTCTCAATTATGTGATTTTCCGATTTCTTTAATTTTCAATATTTCGGTTTATAATATTTGGTTTTTTTCATTTTATACTTTTTCGTAACTCCATTTTTCTCATTCGAAAAGTTGGAAAATCCAAAAATTTAAGAATCGAAAAACTAAAAAAATCGAAAAACTGAAAAAAACGAGCATTTGCAAAATCGAAAAAGTGGAAAATCGAAATTTTTTAAAAATCTAAGAAATGAAGACACGAAAAATTGAAAAAAACAGGACTGAACAATTGGAAGGAAAAACAAATCTAATCGAAAAACTGGAAATGCCAAAAATTGTAAAATCGAGAAATTATAAAATCGCCAAAATTGTTAAGTTGAAAAACTAATATTGAAAGATCCAAAAACTGAAAAATTAAAAATCGAAAAATTCAAAAAGTAAAAATCGAGAAATTGAAAAGTAAAATAAACAAAACAGTTTTAAAGTCCAACAATCGACAACTATAACTATTATTACATATTTAAAATGAAAACTAGAAAAATCCCAAGTCAAAAATTAATGAAAGTAAAAATTAAAAAATCGAGAAAGTGTAAAATGTAAAATTGCAAAAACGAAAACTATTTCGATTTTACAATACATTTTTCTATTTTCACTTTTTCGATTTAGAAGTTTCTCAATTTGTTATACTTGGATTTGTCAATTATTCTAATCTTCAGTTTTTTTTTCTTCTTGATTTCCAGTTTTTAAATTTTTCGAAGTTTTCATTTTATACATTTTGGTAATTTTATTTTATGATTTCAATTTTACAAATTTCAATTTTTTTATTCAAAAGTTAAAAAATTCAAAAACTGAAAAAACGAAAAATTAAAAATCGAGAAACTGAAAAATTGAAACAAACTCAACAGTCCAAAAACTAAAAGACCAAGAAAATCGAAAAAATGGAAAAAAAATTACAAATCGAAGGCCTGAAGAAACGAAAAATTGAAACATTCAAAAACTAAAAATCGAAAAAATTAGAGAATCGAAGAACTGGAAAGAAGAAAAAACGAATAGAATCGAAAAATTGGAAAGTCGAAAACCTGAAACACCCAAAAATTAGAAAATCGAAAAAAAATCAAGGGCTACCAACGTATCGTAAAAATTGCAAAACGAAAAATTTGAGAAACGAAAATTTGAAAAAAGTGAAACTAAATAAACAAAAAATGATTACTCCATAAAATGGGAACAATGAAAAATACAATTCGAAAATCTGAAGAAATGAAAAACTGAAGAATTGGAAAACTTCAAAATTAAAAATTGAAAATTCGAGAAATTTTAAATCGAAAAATTAGAAAATCTAAAAATCTAGTCCCTCCTAAAATAAGACTAATTTTGGCAAATAATATACCCTCTA